ATAATAATAATAATAATAATAATAATAATAATAATAATAATAATAATTGGAAAAGATGCATGGGCTAAATCCAGATAGCCAGGTATCTCCAAGCTGCCTCTAGCACTAAAACCTTAATGATTTCCTCTTAAAATCAAAGGTCTCCAAACTTGGCAACTTTAAGACTTCAACAAGTCTTAAAGTTGCCACGTTTGAGGACCCCTGTCTTAAATTATACTGTTGGGTTAAGACACGGTTATTAGAACTGACACAAGTTAACGATAGTATCATGTTGTTTTCAGTGATGCTAAGTTGGAGCCAATGATGCAGAAGTTCCAACTTCTGCAGCAGCAATAGATTATGTCTTATTGGTTGGTCAGAAAAGAAGCCAGAGCCATGAAACAACATCATTCCATTTCAGGAAAGGGAACTGTGAAGGATTGACTCCTTCTGTTGGGTAACAGGAAAGGAGAATCTATTCCAATGTACTTCCTTTTTGGGTGAATTCAAAGCATCAAATTAAGCTTACTATCACTGTAAAGTGGTTTCCTTAAGAATGTTTGATCCAGTTTGCAGCATTAAATCAAGTGTTCTGCCTGGGATGCATGAACAATTCATAGAATACAAAATGGCCCTGACACAGCAAGGGGAGAAATAGTATCATTTCAGCCACATTTAAAATGCTTTGGGAAGAAAAGCAAAAATATGCGCACTGAGCACAAAGATGCAAGGCCCAATTCCTGAAATTTACTTTTTACAGCCTTCCCTTAAGTCTTTTTTCTTCATTGGCAAAGTTCTAAATCCATGTTTCTCAAACTTGGTGACTTTAAGACAAGAGGACTTCAACTCCCAGAAGTCCTCAGCCAGCATGCTTTTGAAGTCCCCATGTCTTAAAGTTGCCAGATTTGAGAAACCCTGGTTTAACTCTAATATTGGTATTATTCATGGAATCATAACACATCTATGTGGAAGCCTGTAAATGCATAAGGTGCACCTTTTGATCTCTTCCTTTATTTCCTTATTGTAGACTATTTAAGTCCATTGATACTGTTAGTTCAAGGTTGGTAAACTGTGACTACCAATACAGGAGAATACTTGTAGTTCAGAGTTGAAATGTGGGGCTTGAAGCCAGGAGTGGGATTCAAATTTCTTAACAACCGTTTCTGTGGGCATGGTCTAATTTGTGGGTATGGCTTGGTGATCATGTGACTGGCTGGGTGTGGCTTGTACGTAAACATTGTAAATATATATGTAAAGATTGAATTTTTTTATTTTAAAAAAGAGCAACTTTTACCCAAAATCAGGCAAATCAGGCAAGCAGATTGAGTTGCTTGCAGAATCACAGATTCACTCAGAGATCTACCTTTCTGCAATCTGCTGCCTGAGTCTGCACTGAAAAATAGAAGCTTCAATCCTAAGGAAGATTCAGCTATGCTCTCAGGCCACTTCTCCCTCCCCCAACCCCCTGAATACCACCCCTGACTGGGCCTCAAGGAAGCCTCCTGGGTGGGGTGGGTAGGGAGGGGAGGGGCCAGCCACTGGTGTGATTTGCGAGTTCTCTGAACTGTGCAGAATTGTAACAACCGGTTCTATAGAACTGGAAGAATCCCACCCCTGCTTGGAGCTCCCTGAACTTGATTGTTTTCTTACCCAAACTAGGTAACAACTTCGGTGCTAGTAGTGCCTAAAATCCAAGCAATCCATAAATGTCCCCTAAGAGAATTTAGCTTATTTGGGGATGCTGATGGATAGCCCTTTTGCCATCTTGGTTGCTTCACCGCATACCCTGGACCTTTTGATTTGCTCATGAGAATGACTCCTTCAAAGTTTTAGTTTATATGGAGAGTATCTTTTCTACTTTTGATGGGGGTCCCCCTAATGCAAATATCAGTTTCAGAGGAGGGATTTTCACTAAAATTGCAGCCAGGGAGGAAAGGGTTAAATCAAAGGTCTTCCAACTTGGCAAGTTTAAGACTTGTGGACTTCAACTCCCAGAATTCCTGAGCTAACATGACTATAGAAGGAATTTTGGGAGTTGAAGTCCACAAGTCTTAAAGCTGTCAAGTTTGAAGACCCCTGAGTTAAATTCTCATGATATGAAGCTGGTAATTATGAATGGCCTTATTTTAGCAGGGCATGTTAAATATACAGAAGTTAACAGTGAAGACAGAGTTAAAATACCCAAGCAAGTTTTCAGAAATTGGCTGCAGAAATTCTCTGGAGAGACAGTGCTTGTCATCAGAGTTAGTAATGGCGGAGGGAGAACAATGCACTGAGCTGGTCTAATATAACTTTCTAGGTTCATCTGGAATAACATAGATATGATCAAATTACAAAGCACAAGCATTGCTCAGAAGGACCTGAAGTCAAAAAGATCTCTTCAGAAAGGAAACTGTTTATGAAGGTTGATTAACGGCCTTCCTTCGTATTGTTCTATCCAAGCCTTCTTCAACCTATCCTCCTCTAGATGCTTAGGTTGCTACTTGAAGAATCCATAGCTGCCTACCTGACAGGTTCAGAATGGGACAATTCACCATGGTCAACTTGCCTTGGCAAACTCACCACTGCCAATTTGCCATAGCAATTCACCATGGCCAGCTCGCCACAGCCAACTTGACACGGGCCAATTCACCATGGGAAAACTTGGCATAGGGCAATTCAACAAATTTAATTATTTTAAAATTATTTTAAAATTATTTTAATTTTTGTCATTCACCTTTCATTTTGTCCCCCCTTTTCCATCCTTTCTTTGATGATTCTATTTCACCATTTCTTCAATATTATGTAACTTTTGTCTTCTGGCAAGTTGGCCGTAGTGAATTGGTCACAGGGAGTTGGCTGTGGTGAGTTGTCCTAGACCAAACTGATTTGTATAGCTACTCTTCAATTTACAGCCACAACTGAGCCCAACATTTTCATTGCTAAGCAAGGTAGTTGTTAAGTGAGTTTTTCCCCATTTTATGACCTTTCTTGACACAGTTCTTAAGTGAATCATTACAGTCTTAAACATCAGTTTCTACACACGTGGGAAGCTGGAGCATGAACATTATTCTTTTAAGATTGGCACCTGTGACTCTGGCCAGATAGTTAAGCTCAATGCCATCTATTCCTCCCCGCCTCCCCTCCCCCAAAAACCAAATCAATAGACCAAACAGATGATGAATAATTTTTATTAGTTATTGTCAGTTTCGTTTTTATGGTGGGATTTGTATATAAGGTTTTATAGACGATGTATGGCTACTTTTAAGTACCGTGTTTCTCATATAATAAGGCCGGGTCTTTTTTTTTTTTTTTTTTTGAGCCCTGAAAAAATGGCTAGGTTGTCTTTTCGGGGTTGACTTAATTCCCCCCCCCCTTGCATCTTCGGGCGGGCGGCGACAGCTTGGATGTTGACCTCGGCGTTGGTGGGACACTTCGTATCGGGGTCAACGCAGGCAGCACCATATCCGGGTGTGCAACAAAAGTACTTCCTAATGGCAAGCCCCCCCCCACCATTCCCCCCCATTTCACATGTTTTAATATAGGCCTTAATTTGGGGGAGGGGCTTAATTTCATTTCATGCCTATAAAACATGCTGGGACTTCCTATTGAGGGAGGCCGTATTGTTGGAGAAACAGGGTAGCATCTCTTAACAACTTTCCAGTACTATAATGTCTCATTAATGTGTGTGTGTGTTTGTAATTGTATATATAGACCCTTATAAACCCCCTGGTTTATTTTCTTTGTGTGGATTAGGAAATACAATCCAGAGCAGAGCACACATTTTTGAACTGCTTGGGTTGGACCCAGACTGTTTATCAATTACACATTAATGTCAATGATGATTTGAGCACTGAAGAGTAAGTCATGAAGTTTCATGTCCAAAAACATGACTTCTCAATGATGCAACCTGGAAATTGTTGCAAAACACGATTGCTCTATAGATCAACTCTCAATCTGTGTCCATTCATCAGCCCTAGAAACCAAGGGGACTTCCATTTTGACTCCCACAATTGCTCCGAAGCAGCTTAAACATGATCCACTTGTATTCTCTTTTGTTGATTCAAAAGCATGAGCAATGAGAGAAGATCACCACCTGGTCTCGGTTGCTGCATAATTTAAAGCAAGAAAAATCTCTTTGTCCCCATGCTACACAAAGGCAGGAGGAGTGGGAGAGAAGAAATGAAAAAAAAAAGCAAAGCAATCTGGCACTTTGGAAAGGAGGTCCATCAGGGAAGAGAAAATGGAAACTGGCATTTCATCCCTGTTTGCTTTGCCAAGGCTTCTGAAACTCTGAAGACACTGAGGAGAAGAAGTATTTTCCCCTCTTACAAGATCCTTTAAGGCTCCAAAACTCAGGAATCAGGAGGAGGGAATGCAAATGTGCTTCTTCAGGAGGCAACTAGACTTCTTGTTTTTTCTTTGAAGACGTTTCGCTTCTCATCCAAGAAGCTTCTTCAGCTCTGACTGGATGGTGTGGAATGGAAGGATTATATTCTTTGCAGGCAGCAGGTCATTTGCATTCTTTTCAGAGAGTCATTGAGACCACTTGGAGGTTTATCTGGTCACCTGAGTAGTGCAAATGGGTGTGAAGCCTTCTTGGCTGCAGGATGTTTTCTGTCCTGTGTCCTGTTGAAGACAGGCGTAGGCTGTTGGGGATGAGTCTGTGTTGTCTGCATCTCAAATTAGATTTGCACTACTCAGGTGACCCTGAGGACACAGATAGACCTACAGGTGGCGTCAATGACTCTCTGTAAATTATGGTAAGACTTTAACTCAAGATTCAGTCTTAGTTAGCATTTTATAAATTAAGTCAGGGGTGGGATTCTACAGGTTTGCACCTATTCGCTAGAACCAGTTATTAACATTCTAAGCAGTTCGGAGAACCGGTTGTTAGAAGAAATTACTGGCCTAATCCTGTAAGGCAGGCAGGAAGGAAACATTCTGGTGTTGCTTACAGAAACTGCCTCTCCATTAACCCTTATTACATTCTTGGCAGGACTAGACTTCCTGTCTCTGGAACATCTCTGGAGGTTTTTTTCTGCTTTGCTGGTACTTTGCTTGTGTGGAATGACTATTCAAAGTTACAATGGCACTGAAAAAAAGTGACTTATGACCGTTTTTCACACTTACGACTGTTGCAGCATCCCCACAGTCATGAGAGGCCAGGCGAGGGGATGCGTGCCTCTATGTGAGTGATGTTGAGTTGACCACACCCAGCCAGTCACATGAGCACTAAGCCATGCCCACCAACTAAGCCACGCTTACAGAACTGGTTGTTAAAAAATTTGAATCCCACCCCTGAATTAAGCACTACATTCTACCAGCACCAACACAATTTATCTGGGCAAAACATACCCCGATGCTAATGGTAGCTCCACTGCATTTCAGCCTTGAAGAATAGGCTATCTATCCTGAATGGGGGAAAGGGCGGGACTGAACTGGCAATGACTTTAACATTGTGCTGAGCTCAGAGTAAACCCTCCTAATAAAGAGAAAATAAAATACAAAACTAAAGTACAACTCCAGTCTCTCAGTCATAACTGTTTGAACTCTCCACATGGAATTCCTTACTAAGTTTTCAGCTTTTATCCTGTTTCCCCATGTAACAACAGCCATGTGTTTTACTCTGCATGATTACACCCACATCTTTGCCAGAATTTAAATCTCCTTAACAAGAACATTTGGGGGAGGCATAATGGCAGATCTCCTCTATCCCCCCAAAGGGACATTGCAGGAATTTGAGAAAATGTTAATAATAAGAAATGAGGATGTCTTGTTAATTTATTGAGTGGATTTCCCCCAAAAAATACCCAAATATGTTGGACTGGCAAATATGTTTAATTTCCCATTAGCACCTGATTTAAAGAAAATAGACTTCAAAAAGAAAATAAAACCTGGGTGGACTTCAAAGTGTCTGGAGGAGGGTTCGGTTTAAACTATCAAGCATCTTTTGGCAGGTATATGAGTAATTCAGAGGAAAAAGGTTCAAGTAGGGTCTGCTAGAAAAATGTGCATTATAATGTACACAGGACTCTTTTTTTGCAGACTTTTTTTTTGTTTAAAAAGAGAAACCTTCCTACTGCTGTAGATAAAATGAAAAGGTGGAACAGCGAGAAACTGACTTGACAAATGTATCCATCCTACTCAGATTGAGCAGATGGATAGCAAGTGTGTGCATGGATAATACTAGAATCAATCTTTCTCGCCAGAACTCCAGCAGAAGCATCTCTTACATCACAGACATGTTTGTTCCAGATTCAGACTGATTCATATTCTCTTTTTGCCTTCAAGTGGTAATTTTGCTTTTAGCCCAGTGGCATGTGATATAAATTCCAATGATCTGGAATACTTATGATCAGAATCCTATTGTCTATCCTCAGATATTATGCACTATCAGCATGCGGTACAACAGCCTCCATGGGATTTAACGGTCCATGAATATCTTTAGTAAATATGCAACAAGGGATCTTGTAAGAGGCGCGATGGCTCAGTGGCTTAATGACGTTGGAGATTATTTATGCTCCAGCGATTCGAGTCTTAGCATTGCGAGGCGGGGTGAGCTCCCATCACTCGCTTCAGCTTCTGTCCACCTAAGTATATTCTATGCAAGTAGATAAACAGGTACCATTTCAGAGGAGTGGAAACCAGCTAGTGCTCTGTGCAGGCAGGCAGTTTTCTGCCCTCTGAACCTTCCTGGCTGTATGCAATGTATGGAATTATCAGACATGGATCAGCTTGGATTTGAAATGATCCAAGTCTAAAAGGGCTCATGGGGGGGGCTTGGATGATGTTGTAAGAAGAACCACTTGTCTTTCTTTCTGGGACAAAGCCAGCTCATCCTCTTGTGGCACACACCATGGGAAGCACATGAGCGTTTCCTTCAACAGAGCTGGTACCTTGGCAGCCAAACTACTACTCTGCAATTGCTAATGTAACAATGACATATGACAACAACAACAACAACAACAACAACAACAACAACAATAATAATAATAATAATAATAATAATAATAATAATAATAATAATAATAATAA